CGCCTCCTTCCTCCCTTCCCTGCCTCTGCCTTCCGCACCAGTCAACAATTTCGGCACACCGCTCACACGCTTCGTGACCCAGCAGGGAGCCACCGAAGACCCAAATGCTGGCGTTCGCATGCGCCCACCGCACCTATGTTGGTGCATCCCTCACACGCTTCGTGGCCCCGAAAGGAGCTTCACCGGCGGCCCCAGTGGCTGCGTCCGCATGCCTCCACAGCACCCAGTTTGGCACACCCCTCAAACGTTCCGCGGCCCCACAGGGAGCACCGCCGACGGCCCCAATGCCTGCGTTCGCATGCGCCCACCGCACCCATCTGGCACGCCCGTCACACTTTTCGTGGCCCCACAGGGAGCTCCACCGAAGGCCCCAGTGGCTGCGTTCGCATGCGTCCACCGCACCCATGTTGACACTCCCCTTCTCACGTGTTCCATGGCCCCATAGGGACCCCACCGACGGCCCCAGTGGCTGCGATCCCATGCACCACCTACCGCACATATTCTGGCGCACACCTCGTACGTTTCGTGGCCCCATAAGAAGCTCCACCGACGGCCCCAGTGGCTTCGTTCGCACGCGCCCACCGCACCCATTTTTGGCACACCCCTTCACACGCTTCGCGGCCCCATACGGAGCTCCACCGGCGCCCCCAATCGCTGCGCTCGCATGCGCCCACCGCGCCCATTTTGGCACGCCTGTCACACGTTTCGTGGCCCCAAAGGGAGCTCCACCGACGGCCCAAGTGGCTGCGTTCGCATGCGTCCACCGCACCCGTGTTGACATTCCCCTCCTCACGTGTTCCATGGCCCCACAGGGACCCCACCGACGGCCCCAGTGGCTGCGATCCCATGCACCACCTACCGCACATATTCTGGCGCACACCTCGTACGTTTCGTGGCCCCATAAGGAGCTCCACCGACGGCCCCAGTGGCTTCGTTCGCACGCGCCCACCACACCCATTTTTGGCACACCCCTTCACACGCTTCGCGGCCCCATACGGAGCTCCACCGGCGCCCCCAATCGCTGCGTTCCACGCACGCACCGCACCCATTTTGGCACACCCGTTACACGTTTCGTGGCCCCACAGGGAGCGCCACCGGCGGCCCCAATGGCTGCGTTCGCATGCGCCCACCGCACCCATTTTTGACACACCCCTGCACACGCTTCGTGGCCACATGGGAAACCCCACTGACGGCCCCAGTGAATGCGTTCGCACGCGCCCACCGCCCCCATTTTGCACACCACGCCTCACGTGCTCCGTGGCCACATGGGCAGCCCTACTGACGGCCCCAGTGGCTGCTTGCCCATGCAGCTTTCGCACCCACTCTGGCGCACACCTCATACGTTTCGTGGCCCCATAGGGGGCTCCACCGACGGCCCCAGTGGCTTCGTTCGCGCGCGCCCGTCGCACCCATGTTGGCACACCCCTTCACACGCTTCGCGGGACCATAAGGAGAGCTCCACCGGCGTGCCCAATGGCTGCGTTGGCATGCGCCCGCCGCGCCCATTTTGGTGCACCGCTCACACGCTTTGTGGCCCCACAGGGAGCTCCACAGGCGGCCCCAATGGCTGCTTTCACATGCGCCCGCCGCGCTCATTTTGACACAGCGTCACACGTGTCGCGGCTTCACAAGGAACTCCACCGACGGCTTCGTGGGCTGCGTGCCCATGCGCCCACCGCGCCCGCGTTGGCACACCCCTCACACGTACCGTGGCCCCGCAGGGAGCTCCGCCCACGGCTTTAGCGGCTACGTTCGCATGCGCCCACCGCCCCCAATGTTGTACACCCCTTCACACGCTTCGCGGCCCCATAGGGAGCTCCACCGGCGTCCCCAATGGCTGCGTTCGCATGCGCCCGCCGCGCCCACTTTGGTGCACCGCTCACACGTTTCGCGGCCCCATAGGGAGCCCCACCGACGTCCCCAGCGGCAGAGTTCGCATGCGCCCACCGTGTTATGCTGGCACACTCTTCACACGCTTCGTCGCCCTACAAGGAACTATTCCGCATGCGGTGCGTACAACGAAACGTGCGCGGGGCGTGCCAAAATGACTGCGGTGGGTGCATGGGAACAGAGCGAGTTGAGCCGTCGGTGGAGCTCCCTACGGGGCCACGACGGATGTGAGGGGTGCGCCAACATGGGCGCGGCGGGCGTATGCGATCGTAGCCATTGGGGGCCCTGGTGGAGCTCCTTACAGGGCCGCGAAGCGTGTGAAGGGGTGTGCCAACATGGGTGCGGCGGGCGCGTGCGAACGAAGTCACTGGGGCCGTCGGTGGAGCTCCACGGGAACGCAGCCGCGAGCTCCCTATGGGGCCACGGAACACGTGAGGGGTGCTGTGCCAAAATGGGGGCGGTGGGTGCGTGCGAACGCACTCACTGGAGCCGTCGGTGGAGCTCCCCATGTGGCCACGAAGCGTGTGCAGGGGTGTGCCAAAATGGGCGCCGTGGGCGCATGCGAACGCAGCCGCTGGGGCCGTCGATAGAGCTCCCTTATGGGGTCACGGAGCGTGTGCCACGGGTGCAGTGGACGCACGCGAACGCAGCCACTGGAGCCTTCGTTGGAGCTCCCTTTGGGGCCACGAAACGCGTGAAGGCTGGGCCGAAACAGGAACATGCGGAGGGCGAAGGCAGGGATGGGAGGAGGGACGAGGAGCTGGAGGATGAGGTGGGAGTTACGCGGGGCGCTGTCTCTTCAAAACGGGGACCCAGGAACCACAGGATGGTTGGGAACAAGACACAAAACACAAACATACACATTTGTTCGCTGATGTCCCAAACCAACAAGACCAAACAACAATCTGGGAGACGTAAGACTCGGGTACGGGGGACTCGGGTTGGCCTGACGAGACCAAATGTGAAATTTGACGCGGGCTCCCGCTGCAGACATCACTTGAAAAGTGGACCGTCAAAATCCAAGAGCGCTCGTCAAAAAAGTTCGGCAAACCCGAGTTCCAGCTTACTCGAGTCTTACGCTCCCCCGAAACAAGGAACATGCACAGTTTTTGGCGCCCTTGGTGCCACGAGGCGCTTTGTATGCTTGGCTTGTTTTTGTTTGGTCCTATTGGTTTGATAATCAACGAAGCGCAGTGTATGCTAGGCTGTCACATATGACCGATTCTGGAAACCATGAACCTAAGCATGTTGTCATCTCTCGGGAGATCGACTTTTGCTTCCGCCCGCTTCGGCCGAGCTTCCGCTGGCTTCCGCCGACAGAGGCGGCCTCATTCTACTTCCGCCAGCTTCCGCCGACCTTCCGCCGCCATCCGCCGAGGGAGAGATGTCAACTCCTTCGATCCTCGAATGGCCCCTGCTGGAACGCCCCATATGGCGCGAGCGCACCTCTAGACTGCACCTCTCCTCTCTCCTCTCGCGATCCCCCGCCCCGTTCCCTCGATCCTCCGAGCCGGGGCCGGGCGGGCAAGAGGCCGGAACTTCCGACGTCGGGGACATTTCGGCTTCGGCCCAGGGCCCCTGGGGAGGTCCCGACCCCCCTGCCCGGGGGCAGCTCCCTGCGCCCAAGATCTAGTTCTGCTAGCCCCGGTGCCTGAAAACGGCTCTCCAGAGGCCGTAGATGGGAGGACAATAAGGCGGGAATTCACACGTGGGGGCCTGCCAAATGGGGTTCAAATAGATGGGGTCGAAGGAACGCGCCATATCACGGATGCATCGCGGATGCATCGGCGACGTCGGCGTGGAGAAGATCGGGCCCCACATCAAACCGCATCGCCGATGCACTGGCGATGCGGTGTGATCCTCCGACCCCATCTACTTGGGAGGTCTGAGACACAAGCACGTGGCCCGCTCCAGAAACATTGAATCAACAAAAACTGACCACATCTTGGGGCAACATCGTTTCATTTCGCCGCTTTCCGCTGTCCGCGTTCCGCCGGCGCCCGCTGGCGGAGACGACGCAGGGGGAGGATACGCCAAAATCTCAATCCCTCGATACCTCGAAGGCGAGTTCTTTTCATTGTCGCCCCACATGATGGGTCTTGCGCGCGATGACGTCACGAGCTTACTCCACGGCTTACGCGGGCCGCCAAGGTGGCACATCGCGTGCGCCCACGCGCGACCTCACACGGGAAGCTGACGCGCGAACGTCCGCGAAGCCGACCCCGCCTGCTTCCGTCGCTCACACGGCCATGCCCTCCGTCTACAACAAGGCTCAACGACCCCGATTTCAGGAACGGCCCGGCAATCCGAGCCCCTCCTGAGCCCGAAGTGATTCCTACTCAGAGTTACTCAGCGTCTTGTCTGCACCCTACTGAGACGAAGCCAAGACGAGGATTATCCCAGTGCGACCCTACCTAGGAGTTGGAGCCCCTAGGAAAGCAGCATGAGTAGTAACAGTAAAGCTAAGCTAAAGCTAAGTTAAAGCTAAGCTAAAGCTAAGCTCAAGCTAAGCTAAAGCTGAGCTAAAGCTAAGCTAAAGCTAAGCTAAGGCTAAGCTAAAGCTAAGCTCAAGCTAAGCTCAAGCTAAGCTAAAGCTAAGCTAAAGCTAAAGCTAAAGCTAAAGCTAAAGCTAAAGCTAAAACTCCCAGGGGACTGGGGGCACCGCTCCCAGGGGACCGGGGGAACCGCCCGGGGCGAGTTCCACTGCCCGCCCCTTTAAGCAAAGAGAGTAAGAACTCTTCTAGGCAGAGCCTAGGTAGGGAATAACATCGGGGTGAGGATACATCGGGAATCCCTGAGATCGGGCGGCTCTGGAGGATACCTCGGGCGCGCAGCGGCCTTCCCAGAGGGTTCCGGGACGCTCCGCGAGCGCTCCGGAACGCTCTGGATCGGATCTATCCTCGTCTCAGCCCCGTCCGATGACTGCACCCCGCCCTTCCTCGACCTGGCCGCCTGGGCCCGCCTTCCCGCCTACTCGACCTGGCCACGATGACTGCACCCCGCCGTGCCCCCAAGCGGGGCCCGATGACTGCACCCCGCCCTTCCCCGAATGGGGCCCGAGGCCGGGCCCCCCTCCGCGGCCCGGCCGCCCGAGAGGCTGGGCCGCCGGCCTGCGTCCGCTGCAGCCCCGCCGCGTCGGCGGCCGCTGCAGGCCCTCCCCGCCGCCGGCCGGCCAGCCGCACGACGCCGCCGCCGCCGCCGCTGGCGGGCGCCACGCCCGCTGGCGGGCACTGCGCGGCGTCGTCGCCGCCGTCGCACGGCGCCGCCGCCGCACGTCGCCGCTGCCGCCGCCGGCTGGCGCCGTGCGGCGGCTTCGCTTCCGCCGTCGCGCGGAAGCCGCGCAGCGGTGGTCGGCAGTGGCGCGGCCTGGCCTCGACGCTTCGAGGTCGGCAGGGGGCCGCAGGTCGGCGCACCGCGGCGGCGGCGGAAGGCGGGAGGGACGCCACATCCGCACCTGGAAACATGCAGGATCGTCGGGACGCAACAGGACAGCCCATTGGCGGCGTTCAAGTCGAAGAAGTGGTGTTGTGGAACGATTGAGAATTTCCAGACGGTTGTCTTCTCATGGGGCATTTCCAGTAGTGGAAATAAATTCGTGTAGGGGCCTCGGAAGAGGGAATTTGGAAGGAGGGCTTATGGCAACATCGTTGAAACGCCTTGAATTTACACTGGTCCTGCTCCTCCCCCCCCTTGCGGGAGGGATTCTGTCCGAAAAAGGCGGGAAGGATGGACGGGGATGAGAGGGCCCAGGTATGCTGGCGTCGTGAACCAACTTATGACAACAAATGTTTGGCTGTCTTCGGCCGCTGGGAGCCTCGCTGGGCCCGGGGGCGTCAGAACGGCACGGGATGAAAAACCAGCCCTGGGCCAAGGGTCGGGACGAATGGGCAAAGTTGGGGATGAGGATGGCAGGATGATGCTGGGGAGTCTGATTAATGCTGAAGATGATGATGGTGATGGCGACGATGATGACGACGATGCTGATGATGCTGGTGATGACGATGACGATGTGATGATGATGCTCTTGATGATGATGAAAGGGATGGTGGTGGTGGTGATGCTCTGATGATGCTGGTGCTGGTGGCAATGGCGATAATGATGACGGTGGTGATCATGGTGAGGATGGTGATGTTGCTGATGCTGCTGCTGATGATGGTGCCCGTGATTTTAGTGTTGAGGATGCTGATGCAAGCTGTAGGGAGAGCTGAAGGCACATTGACGATGATGAGCGATGGGGGGAGGATCCAAGCGGCGATGCCAACCGCAAGGTCGGCCCGCGCGTGTGCGCGTCCACGGACGCAACATCCGATGCTTACCACCCACTGGTGGGAAACCCGCGCACCAGCGCGCGACCCTCTGGCCTCGGGCTGGCGGCGAGCAGTGATTTTCAAACGGCGCAACTGTGCAGGATAATCATAGTGCAGCGTAGCGGGAGCCGCCCTCACCAGCAATGCGAAGTCGGCAACGCCCCAGGCTATACAAGGGCAGGGCTGCGGGCCGAGCCAAACTCAAAGTCACCAACGCATCGGGCCGAGAAGGAAGGGGGACGGACGAAGAGGCACAAGCGTCGGACACAACAAACTAAACCAGGCGCCTGCAGCCGGCTTACTGAAGAAGTGAGCACAGGTGCATGCAAGCTGGTGGACTCACCTGAAGTAAACCCAGCATCCCAGTCTACTACTTCACTTCCTTGAGCTCACGGCGTGGTGCGAGGAGCATGATCGACGTCGATCATAAGTCCCGCAAGCTCCTGCCACTTCAACGCCCCACAAGGTTGTGGGATGGACGCGATCAGCACGCGGTGACGGTCAGTCGCTCCGGTCCAGCGAGGTCCAGCGAACCCTGCCGCCCTTCGCGCTGTCATGGCACTCTACCACGAAGCAGCGCTTCGCTTGGCACGCGTGCATTAAGGGGGCCATCTCGCCAGCAGTGGTTACCGCCTTCGAGGCCATCTGGACCTGCTGTAGGTCGTTCTCGGTCTTGTCCTCCTTCAGGGCGGCTCCGTGCCCTCAACTGTAGGTGGTGCAGGTCCGTTCGGGGCAGGGCGTCGGGGCGCCTGCCCTGCGGGTGCCCCCGTGCGCGCCTCGCCCGCCTCCGCGGCTGCCGCCCTGGCGGTCTCGCCTTCGGAGTTGTAGGACTCCGCCGCGCGGTCCATGCCCAGCTTCGTCTTGGCGTTGCTCTCGGGCACCAGGGCCGCGCTGGCAGCGGGCGCCGCCCGGGGGGGCCGCAGGGACCTGCAGCAAAATGCTCTCGGCCACGTTCTCCGCGGCGGCGTCGCAGGCGCCGGGCACCGTCGCCCCCGAGTGCCAGCGCGGACGCGGCTGCCAGCGTGGACGTTGAGGCTTCTCTGCGGGTGGCGCTGGTCCTGCCCATTTCGGATTGGCGAGCCAGCTCCGCAGTTGATCCTGATCTTGCTGGTGCATGCCGCATGCAGCGCTCCGTGCTGCAGGCGAGAGCGCGTCAAGCCATCGTAGTAAAGCCCTCCGGCTGGCGCCCTCGCGCCACGCGCGGCCACAAATCTCACGCGCAAGTGGTTCAGCAGTTTGACCCCGAGCTGCTGGCGCCCATTGACAACGCAGATGCTGGAACTCCACTGCGAGGTAGGCCTCGCCAGTCTTTCCACTCAACCTCGTCATCTGGTTGGGCCCCGCCCCTCGCGCCGCGGATCCAGCTCCGTGCCTGGCGACGCACCTCCCGTTCATGGGCTGGTGCGGGTGCACTCTCGCGGGGCGGCCGTCTCCTGGGCGCAGAGGATGGCGTCGTTGTTGTCGAGGTCCCTGCCGACGCCCCGCCTGCTGGATCTGCCCCTTGCAGTAGCTGGCGGACAATCGGTGCACTTGGGCGTCTCATTCTCCCGAACCGACTGAGCCTCTTCTTCGGGCGGTTGGCGTTGATCGCGCGATAGGTGGTGTCGAGGCCCAGGACGCTGTGCATTCGATGTAGCGGTAGGTCGGGCGGTTCAAGAAGCGCACCCGTCTGGCCCGAGGGTCGGGCACTGGGCTACCCACGCGGTGGGTCCGCTACTTTGCTGGCACCTTTGCCTGCAAGGACCGCCGCTGCACGCTCCTTAGCAGACTGCATGGCTGCCCACCAGTTGCCCCGGCCCACCGTGGAGCAATCCGCGTGGACTCTAGCCGTGGGGAAAGCGTGATAATGTAGTCGGGGCGATCCCAGATCCGAGCTTCAGGCGAGTAAGTTGCGTCGCCGTCTGAGGTTACCACAACGCTGGAGTGTGCTGCAACGTCCTGGCCTACATGAAGGTCGACCTCAGGCCGCCCTCGCCCTCTGGCGAGCATAGCGCGGTGGGCGCGGCGATAGCTCCACATGCTGTGCACTGGCTCTCTCCCGTCATAGTAGTCACCTTGCGACGCGGGGCTCCATGGTGGTTGTGCCGCCACCGAACGCTCGGCCCTCCAGCGTAGCGAACTTCGGCTAGCGATGGCGCGCAGGAGAAAAACGAAACATGGCATGTCCCGCCATCGACTGATGATCATGCTGCGCGGGGGCTCGCGACCCCGCAGACACGAGAAACGACGCCAGAATCGCTCGAACCAGGGCCTTCTCAGCGCGCTTTCCGTTATCCGCCAGGGTCTGACCGCGGAGGTGCCCCGGGCCCTTCGCCCCTCAGACTCCCCCAGTTAATCCTATTTCCCTCTGGGCCTGAACCGGCGTCCATCGCGCGACTCTTCGAGTCCATGCGCGAATCCCGTCATTCGCTAGGGTCTGACCACGGAGGTGCCCCGAGCCTTTCCCCCCTCAGACCCCCCTCCAGTTGACGACATTCCCCCCCCCTGGGCTAGAAGCAACGTCCATCGCGCGACTCTTCGAGTCTAAGCGCGTTTCCCGTCATGCGCCAGGTCTTAACAAAGCTGGAGCCCCGAGCCCTCCCCCCCTCAGGCTCCCCTCACTTGATAAATAATTCCCCTCCGGGCTAAAGCCCGCGTCCATCGCGCGACTCTTCGAATCTGAGCGCGCTCCCCGTCGCCCGCTACCGAAAAATGCCGTGCGATCCGCCGCTCTCTACTAGTGAGACCGTGATTCCCAATCCTCCTTCGTTGGATTTTCGTTTCGAATAGAGCAGTGCTCGAGCGTCCTTCCTGCCCCCCCCTCGCCTCCTGCCCCCCGCCCCCTGTCTCCCGCGAGACATCGTCTCGTCGTCCCTGGGGGGGGGGGGGGGGCTGCGATCTGCGACGCTGTCGCCACTTTCAAGGGCTGCTGGCGGGCCCAGCGGAGTGAGGCACCGTGCAGACCTGAGCGAGACCTCGCCGCCCCTGGGGGGCTGCGATCTGCGACGCTGCCGCCGCTTTCGAAGGCTGCTGGTGGGTCCCGCGAAGTGGGGCAAAGCGCAGACATGAGCAAGACATCGCCTTCCCTGGGGGGCTGCGATCTTCGAAATTGTCGCCCCTTTCGAGAACTGCTGGCGGGTCCAGCGCAATGAGGCACCGCGCAGACCCGAGCGAGACCTCGCCTTCCCTGGGGGGCTGCGGTCTGCGCCGCTCTCAAAGGTTGCTGGTGGGCCCCGCGGAGTCAGGCATCTCGCAGACCCGAGCGAGACCTCGCCGTCCCTGGGGGGCTGCGATCTGCGAAACTGACGCCGCGTTCGAGGGCTGCTGGCGGGTCCAGCGGAGTGAGGCACCGCGCAGACCTGAGCGAGACCTCGCCGTCCCTGGGGGGCTGCGATCTGAGAAGCTGTCGCCGCTTTCGAGGGCTGCTGGTGGGTCCAGCAGAGTGAGGCACCGCGCAGACCTGAGCGAGACCTCGCCGTCCCTGGGGGGCTGCGATCTGCCAAACTGTCGCCACTTTCGAAGGCTGCTGGTGGGTCCAGCAAGGCGAGGCACCGCGCAGACCTGAGCGAGACCTCGCCGTCCCTGGGGGGCTGCGATCTGCGACGCTGCCGTTGCTTTCGAGGGCTGCTGGCGGGCCCAGCGGAGTGAGGCACTTCGCAGACCTGAGCGAGACCTCGCCGTCCCTGGGGGCTGCGATCTGCGAAACTGTCGCCACTTTCGAGGGCTGCTGGTGGGCCCAGGGTCCAGCAGAGCGAGGCACCGCGCAGACCTGAGCGAGACCTCGCCGTCCCTGGGGGGCTGCGATCTGCCAAACTGTCGCTACTTTCGAAAGCTGCTGGTGGGTCCTGCGGAGTGAGGCACCTCGCAG